TTGGAGATCCTCTCCGTGCAGCAGCTTCAACGTTGGGTTAACCATTAGGCAAATGAGCACTTGCTTAGGGCTTCAAGGGAAGAGGATAATCGTCCGTAACTCCTGCGTTGGACCTTAATTTGCATGGTTAATGACAGTTTTTTGACAATGTTCGTGACTATTTTTTTAAAATTTGTGAGAAACTGTAAGAAGGTCCTCTACCTTAGGTAGAAAACGAATGCATACAATATTGTATTTAAAACAATGTTAAGCTGCAATCTTTAGAAATTCTTCTGTCTTCAAACTCATTTCCTTTATATGAGCTTAAAAGGAAAGGGTTTGAACATTTAAACTTTGTATTGAAGATCTCAGCTTTTCTTCTGCTCCTGAATTTCAAAATTCATACAGACATATGGAGGTTATTGACAACTGCAAGATCTTCTCCGAAAATGCAGAGGTTATTGTGAATTCATCAGTTTTTGATGATCTACAGTCGCTAATCTCGTACGAGTATATGCACTTTTCAAGAATTATTTCATTATTTTGTTTTCATACCGAAGTGTGTATTTATTTTCAGGATATCAACATCACATGATATTTAGCAATTATAAACCACGTGTGTACTATAACATAACCTCTTCGATTTTAACATGCTTTCAGTTTCAATACTTGGCGTATTTTGGAACTCAGTTGAACGTGATTTCATTCGAGGATTAGTCCTATAAAATACCACTCGTGCTTTGTAAATTCCTCGCTTCGCGAGACGGGAATTTATCGATAAATTCCAAAGCACTCGGGGTATTACCTATAATGTTTTCACGTGTTCAGGAATTAGCTCGATCAATTCTTACAGAACTCAAAATCACATGGAGAATCGTTCAACGATTAGGGCAAATGCCCTTATGCTTCGCGTGGGAGCTTCACTATCTCATGAGGGTAATTGTCACATTTCTGCGAGATGGCGTCTCAAAGCGCCAGTCCTTTTGCCGCACAGTATACCATATACCTTTCTATGATGACCGGGAGGTCGTAGGTTTCGAAAGCAGAATTTTCGACAATAGCTAGGTCGAATCCAACTGCTGTCTGGAGGAGAATTCTTGCGGCCGACTGCTCTGATCGGTGGTTTTCCGTGGTTTCTCCGATCATCACCAGGCGAATGCTCGAGCAGTATCCTAACAAACAGGCCCACTGACTATAGGCGCGATCTTTCCTTCATTTTCCCTGTCTTATCGTCACCCTTATCTAATCACACTCACACACACACACACATGCACTGTGCTGTCACACTTGTCCGGAGACCAGTCGGGAGCTTAGAGCTGTCCGGGTTGGGGCGGTGTCTCGCTAGTGGGAGATACCTGCTTGGAAAAAATCCTCGCAAGCCGACGTAGGTCGGTACCATTAATCGCCCCCTCCCGCGATAAAATTTATACTACATCTATAGGGCAAATTACTTTAGCAGTTTACGCACCTGGAATCACTAATTAATCAGTTAATCAAACTTTTCTATGAAGATATTTGTAATGTCGTCACGTCTTAAACTTTGTATGTATAAATTACGATCATCCAATATATTTTTTCGATACTGGACAGTCAACCTAGTTCTTTATTTGACCTATATTATCATGGGAAAAAATTGCTGCCATGATTTTGGCTATAACTCAGGGGCGTAGGGTCTACCAACGAATATCGATACTGAATGTTTACTCCTTACTGAATTAAAATTTTAATTCACCATTTTCAGTCATTGATGCACTACGGTTACTGTACACATTGATATATTACGAATATTGTTCAGAGTAACTTTGGTTGGGGCAAATAGGATAGACATTAAACTTCGCAGAGAAAAACAATTTTAAAAAAGATATTACGTTATGTTTATTTCTCATTATTCACACAGTTATTAAGTAATAGTATCTTCATAGGCTTCATAAGTAATAGGCTTCAAGGATCAGGTGTATAATGATTATGCGAATTGCCAATATTCTTCAGAGGGGAACATTCGAATCTTCAGGGGCATTGTTTGATTGATTAATGACTGAGGACACGTCAGGTGCTAAGGTCATTAGGCCCGTCAGTGTCGATCATGTTTTTATCGCAGGAGGTGGCGGTAATTGGATGGCGAAATCCGCTGCTGACCTACACATCAGCTCAAGGTGTTTTTCCCTACCAGGCATCTCCTACCAGCAGGGGTCCGCCCCATCCGAGGAACAAGCTCCATGCTCCAGTCTGGTCTCTCGCCATGTGTGGTAGAGTAGTGCATGTAAGTGTAAGGGTTGATAATAACCTAAGGAAGAGGAGGGATAGATTGTCCATGTGGCCCGTTTGTTAGGGTACTGCTGCGGCATCCACCTGAAATTGATTGAAGAAACCACGGAAAAATTCTGATCAAAGAAGCCGGCCGCTACAATTCTCCAGACAGCAACTGAATTCCATCTAGTTATCTGGTTAGTGTCGAAAATCCTGCCGCCGTTGGGAAATACGAAAACCTTTGAGAATTCAAAAAACTTCAAGATATCATTTAAGGTCATAATGTTTGCAAGTGAACTCATTTTCCCATGGATTACAATACTTAATTTAATACAAAGGTAGCAAAACCGTTTCATAAAAAAAATTGTTCTTGGGTGAAGGACGGATCATTGAGAATACGCAACGATGAGAGTTTTCTGGAAAGAAAGTACAGTTTAAAGAAATATTTGTATTTTCTCAACTAATACCCACTAATTTTACTGGTATGCAAACAGAATACAAATGTATGCATGAATGTGTAAAAAGCAAAAGCAATTTAAATGGTATTTACGTATGAGGTATTTGAATGGTATTTAAATGATATTTATTAAAGGGTCATTTAAATGGTATTTGTAAGGTATAATGGTATTTATAAGGTATTTGACAATTTGTTTCATAAAACAATACTCTAATCAATCTTACTAACTTTACGTTGCTTGCATGCATTCTTATAGCAACAAGTTACATGGATCGGTTGTCTGTTTCTCGAACGCTGCTTTTTAGAGTGCCCTAAATTGCAATTTGGATGACAAACGCCTAATTAAAATGCGGGTTTCATAATCCATATTTTCGTCTGTAGCCTCCCTCGCTTCTGCGAAAAGTGGCAAGTACTACGAGTTGAAATCAATTACGAATCGTCATGTAGTATTTCCTCTTGCTGAAATGTAAATAATTCAGTTATTCTAAAAAATTCTCTAATACTACTCATTCATGTAATCATACAAAACTTTTGTTTTGAAATCCGTTTATTTTCAATTCGAAGCAAACTGATATTCTTTTTCTCAGTTGCCACAATTCCTTTTGCAAAGAAATCCATTTCTAATAAATTAAAAAAGAATGTGACAGATATAGAATTTTGCCGAAGAACAGTAAGTACATCCGGATTTTCTTTAACAATTTTCATAAAATTACAAATAGCTTTCATCTAAGGCCAAAAATTTATGCTTTCTTTGATACTTCACTTTAAACATGGTTTCAAAAATAATTTTATGTCCTTGTCGATGCACACCAACGCATGAAACTAAATCTCATAAGTCTCACTTGTTTTAACTAAATGTCACCCCTAGTATGTCACCCCTTTATCAGTACTGATAAATTCTGGATAAACTTGCCGAATTGCAAACGTCTTTCTTCACTTTTTCAAAGAATGAGTACAACTTGAAATTTTTATTCTTTATCTGAGGTCTTATTGACATAAATGTGTGGAAACATTTTTATTTCTTCAACCCTGTTTTGAGACTTTCTTTCTTGCTCACTGGAAATGTACGGAAGACAGCGCAAACTGTTTCATTTAGTACGGTCCAACTGTGCCATGCCTTGTTTGGTTGCCGAGAAAACATGTTCTATGCTCTTACGAAAACATACTATGCCCTTATGAAATATACGTCGAGGCGCTGAAATGGAATTCGACCGGGAACCTCCCAACATTGCGAAAACGCACAATATTTATTTCGCTATATAAGTTAGTTTGAAAACCACTTACTACTAAAACAGTAACGGTGTGATTTGTACATATTGTAGTTTACAGTATGACGAACAGCAGTAATTTAAGTTATGGATTTCAAAAGCGACCTCACAGCAGTGCATATTTCGTTGAGTTTATGTAATATACAGGATGAGTGGTTTCTTCAGTACGTATAAACATGACCGAACTTGTAACTAGATCATGAAGTATCGTTTGACGATTTTTTTCCCAAATGCACAGTCACTTATAATATAATCGTTAATGAGTGTGTAATTGCTAAGCATTCGGGACATATTTTATGAAAGGAAGGTAGGTTTTTACGCCGAGGTAGTGTTACCCACCGCGAATCTCTGCATGCCAGATCATCTCGAAGGTTTACCTCCTGAAAATTTACCTTATACAACATCGCGCGCCAGATCGAGAAAACCGACGAAAAACGCACTCTGCCCCCCCCCCCCCCAGAACTTTTGAACGGCAAATGCATTCAAAATATCTCAGTAATATGCGCACAATATAGCCTTAGGTAGCTCGTTGGTCAGCGTGCACGCGGTCCACGGCACAATCTCGAGTTCGATTTCTGGTCGGGGCAAAATGTAATTGTGCGCTTTCCTTGCTATGTCCCAATACCTGTTGCTGTGTGCTGATGAGAAAGCTCACTCCTCAGGTTGAGAATACCAGAAATACAGTGTAGGGATGGATATGTCCTAACCACACGTACCCCGTAACTCATGGCCGCAAGGCCGGGACACTGCTGATAAGTCTTGGCTCGTAAAGAGCTGTTGTGCCCAAGTATATACATACAATATATGCACGATGGTACTCATGACTATTTAAATTATTTAATTGAAGAATCGCGTAATGCTATTTGCAGATTTGTTCGTAATTTCTTAAATTTGGACCGCCCCCTCTTCTGCTGCGTAATATCTACGCACCTTCACGCCATTCATTTCATCGATACACGCATTGACATAAACGCGGCCTTAGTGTTATTACATTCTTTTACCAGTCAGTTAATATAGCTGTCCATAGATATATCTCAATTCTCAAGTAGTATACTTATTATTCGTAAGTGTGGATATATGCGCAGAACGTTATTTGAGCGCCCCTCTCAATTACTGGACTGGACTGAATTTACAAGTAACACAGTGCAGGTAACATCGGAACTTTGACTTCTCTTTGAGTTTGTTGTCAGTGGTGCCTGCAGTGTTCGTGCGTACGGCGGCGTGTGACGTTTGAATTTATATTGTTGTAAATTTAATATTTTACAGTGCTCGTAAAAAATGTCGGTGCCAGCTTCGAATTCGAAGTCTAAGGGCCCTGCGCCGACTGTTGAACAAATAAATGCAGATCGAATCACACAGGTAACATTGTCTACTTAGAAAATTCAAACGTCAGGAAAACGTTGTACCTAAGTAAGGTTATGTAAAAGCATGTAAACTAGAAATTTTGAAGACAGATTAGTTGTATTGTAAAATTGTTATATTATTGGATTCAAAAATTATTTCATTGATGAATTTTCCTTTGCCCTACTTGTGTTACAGTTGGCCAATCAATATTGGGCACCTTACACTATTGAAAATCACCTTCCTTTTGATGAGAAGGTGGTGGAAGACATATACATGAAAGAAATATATGGCTCTGGGTAAGTGTCAACCAAGTTTATTAAAACCTTTGTCATCTGAGAATGTTCTTGCAAGATTCCTTACCAAGTAATGTTACTAGATTCAATGATTTTAAAATGAAATACTAATGAGTATTAAATAATTACTCATTCTCTAAGAAAACTTATTCTAATAAGAAAATTCTGATGATATCCAATGCAAAATATAAATTCACAGCATATTTTTGGTTGTCTGGATGAATTTCATTTGTTTCAGAAGTCAAGGCTAGTTTTGTGTATTTATGTTCTTCGAGGTTTGTTATTGCAATAAAGTATTCACAATTATCTTCTATAGAAGACAAAGTTATAAGACTATCTACTTTGAGAAACATGTTTATTTTTTTATTTCGAAATTGCTTTTCACTGAGCACAATGTCCTTTCTGTGACTTCAATAGATTGATGTGAAGTTGTTTGTAACAAAAATTTCAATTGGTTTTTAGGTATGCCATTCGACGAATAATGATGTTAGAATTCAGTCAGTACTTGGAAAATTATTTGTGGCCGAATTATGTTACTGGAAAATCCTCTCATGCTCACATGTTGTCAATTGTGGTGATGGTGAATGAAAAATTTCGAGAAAGGGTTCCTGCATGGCAGGTAAGTTTTAATAAATGAGATTGCAGTCATTTCATCCTCATAAGAAGTGTGTCAAATTAGTGGTGTCAATTTTTTAAACTTCTGTTTTTAGCCATTCAAGAAATTATCTGAACATTTCCCAGGCTTCTTTCAGCAAGTTTTGGAAGCATGTCTCATGGATGCTATTGATTGTTCTTTAAAAGAACAAACAGCTCTACTTGTCTTCCTCAACCATTGTTTCAACAGCATGGAAGTAGCATTAATTCGCGATAGAGTGAAGCGATTAGTTTCTCTCTCAATGTGGACATGTCTTCAAATGGTGAGTGGCATTAGTAATGCATTCACAAAGGGGTTTAAGAGTATTGTAATGTTCAGGAATCAGAAAACTTGAATATGAAATGGGTACAGTGATACAGTGTAACTTGCTTTATTTAGGTATTGTCTTTTCTCTACTGGGTCAGCAAGGATATTATATATATTAGCTTCCTGATGGGGTTCCATTTGGCTTCTATCTTTTTACAAAATTCAGTAATATCAAAATGTAAGCAAAAGTTGTCTGTACTGTTCATGTGATCAAAACCAGCAAACTCTACTCTGTATCTTAGAATTAAGAACTGTTTTAAAAATTCAGAAGAATTATAAAATTTAGGTTGATCATGGTTTAACTTTTGGAAGTTGTTTAAGCAAGCATTATGTATTATTCACGCGAGGGATCTCTAATGTTAGTTTAACATTAATAATCACAATGATTATTATTTATCAGAATCATTAAAATGTTATGTGAACATTCACTTTTCAACAACCCCAACCCCCAAACAGTTGTGTTTGTTATTGTTAGAACCCCTTCCGCCAGAAGTCTGTCAGATTAGAGCTTAAGACAATCCAAGTTAAGGATTCCTGATTTAATAATTTGTTTTTAAATGTCACAAATTTTGAAATTAAAGATCCATTTTCACTCATGCTAAGCCCTTTCTCTAGTATGCAGTTTATAGTCACATTTAATCTGAGAGAGCTTCCCATTTTCTTGTGACAATGCAAATTGCAGGCACCATCAAGCACACAATCCACAAGGGGGAGGATTATGTCAGTAAATATTAACATAATAATCATAAAAATGTTATTATATCTCTTTTCATCAACTGCCTTCCTATTATTCCCTTTTTTGTTGTGAAAATTAATGTTATAATTCATCAAAAATGTATTTTGTAACTAAATTTGAAAAATGGTTTTATAGTTACATGAAATTTCAATAATTTTTTGATGAAGTCAATGTATTTAAATTGGAAGAGGGAAGGGATGGAAATGAAATGGTCATTTCAGTGAAGTAGTGTTACAAGTTACAAGTTGTTACAAAGAGGAGAGGTGTTAAAAAAAGCTAAAATGCCCTAAAACCTGCATCGTTAAGTTGACTGATAACTGCTTTGTTATGCAGACTCAGCGTGGAAAATAATTTATCATTAATTTTGGTATTTAAAGTGTGGACAGAAAGAAATGTGTAAAATAGGTGAAATTAATATTATTCCCCAAAATGTGTATATTCTTTGTTGTAAATTTTGATTTGAGATAGGGAATTACATATTCAATAGAAACTGTATGTTTGGTAACTGGTATGGTTCAATAGGAACTGTATGATTTCTCTAGAGTTCATTAGATTTTCAAAGCAAGCAGAAAAAAAAAATTCTAGTGATGATTTTTCACTGAACAATACTGGGGTTATTTTGTACTTGGCAAAACATGGTCAATGAATTTTTTGAACACTTAACTTCCGAGCTCAGTTAATAGAATGCTTCATTGTTTTCTATTGCATATTTATGTAGATGATTGTGTCCTTGTACTTCTCAAAAAATGAAATGTATGCCTTGGTATTATTCTCATAAGTATATCTATTCTCATAAGTTAATCTTGTGTATGTAGTTCCAAAATAATTGGACCATAAGAACCAATAATTAGTGGAAATTTCTTCCTAGTGTCATTGAAGACAGTTGGATTGCATTGTTTAATTTTGTTAGCTGTGACTTTAAATGATATTACATGACCATTTTCTTTTTATTGCATACGATATAAATAGAAGGGGAAACAATTTTCCCTAAGAGCATTAAAAACTTATGCAAAATTATCTCTTGGTATGACCTATTCTGTAATAAAATAACTTTAATGAGAGGTGTTAATATTGTTCAACATACTTTCAGGGCCGCAGAGAACAAGAGTTGAAAGCTGTGCCCAAATGGAGAAAGTTTTGGAAATTGATACAACGCAAAGATCGTGACACAACAGAAGATTTGTCCCGACTTGACTGGGAACGCCATTTTTTGCAAAGACTTATGATCAAATTCATGAAGCTTTTGGAAACAATTCCTCCTGATGGTATGTTAACTTTTGTATACCACAATGGAACCTCAATTACCTGGAGTCTCTTTCATAGAAGAAAATGTTTCAAGAAACAAATCAGAAATGATATGTCAGGGATACGATTCTAACTGGTTGTCTCAGGATGATTTAATTAATTTAATACATTTTTGGTAGCAAATTAATTTTACATTGATATTTGGAAATTATAGAAAAAAGAAAAGAAACACTAAATAAATAAATAAACAAACAAAAAAATCCCAAACCAATTATTTTATGCAAATATAGTTGTAAAAAATAATTTAAAATGTATCACCTCAACATTCTATTCTTCATAGCTTTTTCTAAAAAAAATTATGATTATTATGGGATTGATTTAAGATTTGAAAAATTACATTGTTGCCTAAGCGATGGTTGGTTCACATATTTATATTGTTTTGTGTTTTATCAAATGAATTTGTGTTAATGTTTGTTTTATAAAACATTTTCTCCTATTTTTAATTATTTTTTAAAGGTCTTTATTTGAAATAACATAATGTAAATATTTGCTTTTTGTTGTACAGGAAGTATAGGTAGTGATATTATACATTACTGTGAGAGGTTCCTGGAGCTTATCATTGACTTAGAAGCTCTTCTTCCTACCCGCCGATTCTTCAATACTGTTCTTGATGACTGTCATCTTGTGGTGCGCTGCCATCTCTCGGAGCTTCCTCATAGAGAAGATGGAAACCTCTTCTCTCAGGTAGGCGTTTGCCAGCGTGCTAGTGTGTTTTGTATTTATGTTATTCTAATAAGCTAAAACTCATTAATTGAATTAATTTCAACCTATCCTATGAATTTATTCTCAGTGAAGTGTCATGACCATACTGACAAATACTACTGCAAATAGCGTTGTTGCTTTTATATGATAAGATTTTATTTTGTTTCATTTATTGGTGTTTTATATTTTGTCACAATGAGAATAAGAATTAGAAGAAATCTATTTTCTTATAGTTCTTATATTTTGTGGATTCTTTTCTTATTTTTATAAGGTAAATTTGCATCATTTGTGAAAAAGTGTTGTCTTTCTGGTTTCTATACAGGAAAAATCCTTGTCAGTATAATTTTTAAATGGAGAATAATAAATACATTTGTATTAGACATTTTACTGTGTGACGTGAACATTTTTGAATATATTTACGACTTTGTAAATGAGTAGGAAAGAGTTCCGCCATTCAGACTAACACCATCCATAGATTATGCATTCCACCGCTGTTCTCAGAAGTAATCTGTCTTTTATTTTGCTTAATATTTTAGCAACTTTCTTTTATGTCGTCTTTTCGTCATCTTGTTTTACTTCTTGTGTATTAAATGGTATTCCCACTCACAAATGTCCATTTCACATTGGCATATTTTTCTGTCTACTGAATTCCTTGTGACTTTGACTTCATAATTCATTAGATTATGTAATTTACTCGTTTGTTTGCTATTTTTATGTTGTGTCAAGGGAAAAATTTCTGGAAGATAGTTCTTTCGAAGTCCCTTACTTTTATTTAAGATTTGCTTCAGTTTTAAATAGTTTACTTTCGATACTTTATGGGTTTTTCATTTATGTATTTATTGAAAAAACAGAAACATTTTGAAATGAGAGAAAACGATAAAATCAGGTAATTAGCAGTTGGAAGTTGGGAGAGAAATTTATTAGCATATGAAACCGAGATAATTTTTAAATATTCTTTCTCCTACATCTTCAGTGAAGTATGTTGGGAATTACAAACTGAAAATTGTTGAAATCACCATCAACATTTTTAGCATCGTTGTCAGATGAGCAGAGACTTGTTATTTGAGTTTTGTATTTGTTCTTTTGACAAGATTATGATTTATGATACTGATGATGAATTTGGTTTTTGAAAATTGAAGTGGGCTAGAAGCAAAAAATTTTGAAGAAAGGGTTTGATATCATGAAAAAAGAGAACAAGGAAGTTGAAACAGGAAAAGAGGGGTATATTTTATTACTTTAAAATGTCAGATTATATGGGTGAAATGAGTCAAAATATTTATAAAATATTTTAATAAAAAAATGTAAATTGTAAGTACAGATCATATCAACATGACAGATTTACGTCATCAGATTCATTTCATCTGAACTCAATTCTTACACTGGCTTTGTCCACTTCTACTTCTTTCCTCTTAAAATTTCACATTTTCACTGTTTTGTTCAGAGTGATGTGTCAAATGTGAAGTTGAGAGAATGAATGAATGATACATTCATTTCTCTTGTTACTGAACAAAGCAGTTTTTCAATTAGGCTAAAATATATTTTGATGGATTGACAAGCCAGTTTGAATTTTCTGCTGCAGCATTAATAGTATATATGAACGAGCACATGATTATTTTGGGACAGATGTTATCAGTAATAATCATAAATACATTCTTAACTTTATTTAATTGGCAAATCATAAAAAAATAAATACACACAATAGGAAATGAGAGAAACAAATTGTTCAAAATCTTGTCCATGTTTTCTCTCTGTTCAATTGAGCTCATTTGAAGCAATACCCAAAAAGGGATATAAAATTAAGTGCTCTTTTATTCCTTGTAAATTTGCACATGTTTGTTAATAATGTGCAGAACTCATTGGTGACATTTCTTCTCCCCATTCTGCAGTATCTTGCCCTTCTGGGTTACTACAAAATGCTTGCTTTATGAGCATTGTTACTCGCTTCTGTCCAAGGACAGTGACGTACAAGAAAAAGAAGGCTTGCAGTAAGTTTGCAACAATGTTGCAGTAGTCTAACACATCATATGGCAGTCTTGCCAAGACAAGGAACAACCAAGCCACAGCCATGACAAGGAAGAGTTTGACAAACATATCAAAGCTGAAAAAAAATAGAAATTTTTCATAATTCTGAATAAGCAAGTAAATTTATTATTAACTCTTAAAAATTGAAGTCACAAACAAACACATGAATGTTTCTTTACCAGTATTTCATCTTATGATGTATTCTTCCTCTTGTTGCAATTCGGCTTATGGCCTGCCCAGTTGTCAAATAGAAGAATATGTTGACTAGGATTGTAAAGGCAATGGGTGTGAAAAATACTGCAATACCAAGTCTCCCTGAAATTAAAATAATACAGATATGAAAAGCAGCAATTTGGCATTAGAGCAATCAGAGCCTAAATGATAACTATTTGAATCAGTGTATTTTTAAAAGGAATTTGTAAATGGTGCTATTTTGTATTCAGATGAAATAATACTGCGAGTTTGTGAAATGCACCTATTGTTTCTTGTTTGCCTGCTGAGTCTCGTACTTCTGGCCTTGATGTATCCAGCATGAAATGTGCAAATAATGCAATTACAGCCATGGCTAGTGTAGCTCCCCAGGCATATGTGGAATAATAGCAGTATTTACGAGCATCAGTTACACGTAGAAACACATTGCGGGACCTGCAGACAGATAGAGAAAACATTATTTTGATTTGATCTTTATGAATGTCCTAAAATTGCTCTATATTTATTCATTGGTAGCATAACAAGACAGGTGATACCAATTAGTAATTTTTGTCATATATTTTTGAGACTCACCTGAAAGTCTTCCATATATAATATCCCAGGCTATTGAGCCAGAAGAAAGCTGCCAGAAGACTTACATACATTACTACATCTGTAAACATGAAGAATTGACCAGGTTAGTTTCTCATTATGGGATTGGCAGTGATTTACCGTTCTTTCAGTTGTGCACAAAGCTGTACATACCTGCCACAAGGAAAGATACATGGTTGGTATACTGGGTGAAGATGCTCACAAGATCTGCTGCTTGACTTACAATGAGACATATTGCCAATGTCGTGAGCATGTTTCCTACCAAATCACGTAACTGTGGGAGAACAAAGTAGAGCACTGCCACTAGCAAGTAGCAAGCAATGGCAATACCATGGCACACTGGATTCACAATTCGCTTCATTATGAAGTCCGTTCCATTAAGTGGGGCTTGCACATGAGGTGCACATACCACTGCATACTGTGCTTTGAAATCAAATTGACGGCCTACAATCTGAAAAGAAAATAAATATATTATATTATAAATTTTAATTCTTAGTCTGCATTTCCAATTACTCATTGAATATAGTACACATTTATTTATGATGTAAATGCAGAACTCAAATTATGAGTAGATTGACTCAGTTATTGTAAAGCAAATCCAGAAATTTAAGAAAATAATCTTATTTAAAATGTAGAGTATTGGCACAACTGTTGGTAATTTTACTTATGAGTTAAGAGTAAATGTGATAGTGAGAAATCTGTATGCTAAAATACAAAATTGACTATTTTGAGTGAACTATATGTTCTTGTGAAAATTTTGAACTGGCATATACAGTGTTCTGTGGGTAATGAATAATTTCGTTTCTTTGATTAATGTACTTTACATCTCGTTTCAATGTATTTTGGTACCCCAATTTTAGTCGCACATTATGTCATCGGCGACCAACGTTTAGAATTAAATGTTCAACTTTTGGTGCACATCATTGGTTGCAAATACTTTCAAGGAAAATTGCTCGACATCATGTAATGAAATACAGTGGAACACTTTTTACGACGTTTAACGCTTTGGAAAAGTAGAGGAACGTACCGTAAGGTGTGACGAGTCATTTAATAGTGCTTCGCCTCCCCCCCCCCCCATTCGTTACCAACAGTTTTTGCTTTTTAACGAAATAAATAAAATCTCGTGGGCAAGGAGGTGAAACACTGTGAAACCAAGGATCGATGGACGTGAGTTTGGAGGGTTTACGACCGCAACACTGTTTACTTCTCGGGTTACGCTGCAACCCAAATTCTTTAGCCAAGTATTTAAGTTCTTAACTTCGACGTTTTCTCGGAAATTACTTTTTTTCCAAATGTCATTCCACACCCTTTCATTCCACCTTCGCTCTCGACCCACAATTCTCAACCCTCTCTCACTCCTCTTGTACGGGAACCCATGCCACGTAAATTGCACACCTTACAACATGCAAGACCCTTCGAAATCGACGATCTCTAGAAAATGCATTTGAATATTAAGTTTTGCTTTCACTGCTGTGAAAAATTGTTTGGAGTTAGTGGCGTGCAGCAGCAAAAATGCATAGTGCGTGGGGTCCTGGGGCATCAAAATTTGGCTTTTCTGAAACGGCACGTGTGAATACTGAAGTTTCTATTTTCCGTGTCGCTTGCAGTCAGCGTGTCATGAGCAGTGACGCACTGCGCTATGAGAATATATAGTGCATGACATCAGGTATGAGAAATTGCTGATAAACATAATAAAATATTTGCATTTTCAGTCAATATCGAAACTGTTTCATTGTTTTTCCGTTTTTCCAGTCGTGCTGGATATCTAAAGGCGCCTTTGGCTCCTTTCACAAGAGTAGAGAGTGTGCTTAATTTTCCGTCAGTTTATGCGTGCAGAAGTAACAAAACAGACTAAGCACTTGCTGAGTATCCCCATGTGTTCAGGACCCCAGGCATTTTCATACAATGCCGAAAGCTTTTTTTACAATAATTTTGGTTATGAACGTTTATTACATGTTTTGCGAAACAAATGTTTTCCCGAACTATTCGAATTAACAAGTAAGGACATGTCGGTGCCATTCAGTGTCGGCTCGTGTACTTTTCGAGGAGAAATTTCAAAGATGTTAGTTGCAAAAATTACAGCCAATAAGATAAACAGCAAACTAGATTTCATGTGTTTTCTTACGATGAGATATACGAGAAAAATCTATCGATTCTATTTGCCCATTCTCACGCTCTTCCGCCAGCCCACGTGTGAGAAGATTACGCGCGCGCCAGATGCTCTGCCCGAAAATTGTCTCTTCTGACAGCAGGAGCGGTGAGTGATATGGACGATTAACACGAGAGGGGAGGAGATTGACAGTTACTCTTTACAGCGATTTAGATTGTTTTCGCCGCGTTAAAGCCGTGGGTTGTTTAATATTCTATCAAAGTAAATATCGTTGTAGCTATCATCCCCCCAAACAATACACATTTCTCGTCAAACATCAAAGTAAATATTTTATTCGGTAATTACTTTCAGAAGAAGAAAATATACGAGAAGAACGTTTCCCCCTTTCCCTCCCATGAAAGACCGCCACCGACGGTGTTGCATCGAGTGAGCGCACCGTGCGGCCTGTTGCCTCTGCGATCGCCGGAAGCGGGGCGCCGATGACGCCGTCGACCGTTCGACCACCGCGCAGCCTCGCCCGCGCGTTAGTCACTCGCTTGACCTTGGCGGCGAGGCGACCGGCCTGCTCTGCAGGCCCGCGTCCAGACGCGAGTTGCGTCCCGCCGTCTCCGCCACCCTGCTGCCTCGCCTCGCCTCCGCTCCGCGCCGCCCCCGCGCCCGCCTACCTCGGGCGGGCGCGTCGCCAGAACCGGAAACGCGCGCGGCCTACTCCGCCGCCAGCGCCACTCTGTGGTCGAACTCAGCGCGTTAGGGATGCGGCAGCGATGTCGATGTTTTCAAAACATCGATGTTCCCACAAAAATATCAGTGATTTATCGATATATTGAAACCGATCCTTTTTCAGCACCGATGTTTTTACATTTTCAAACTTTTGTTCGTGGATTAAAAATGCATTTTTACAGTTTTGTTAAAGTTAAAATAAGAAATAATAATTGTTGGTTCTACTATCTATGTGTCCGAACCACATGAACGCGGTTTGATTACTTTTATTGAGCAGACTGCTGTCCCTCGCCCGAGATGATCCAGATGCAATGGAATTTCCTTCGTCTTTCTCCTCGTTTTCGCACACGGAGAGGCGTTTTATTACTTCCTTTCCAGTTCAAGTCTAGAAACATATCTTTCAAATAATACATTCGCAAAATTTAGCTATAAAATGTAGCACTGTTCCCCTCTCCCCCTTGCAACAACTTATACATCGCACGTTCCATTTCGTACGTGCCGTATTTGTATTGTTACACTTGAATTGACGATTTTTCAGTATTTCGCGTTATCAAATAGTCTCTACTAATATTAGATATTAAATATACAAAGCGTAACTATGTGTGGAAATAAACAAAAAGACGTAAGCCAGTAAATGAAATATTAGAAATGGTTTCAATCGTACTTTTCATGTAGATTTCTAGGTCTGTTTAGTGTTTGAACTCACATCGAGTATTATTTAACACATCTCATGAGGTAAGGTTTCCTTCCATTTCTGCGAGTAGTTGTAGTTAAAAAATGGGATGAGGTGCCACACCGTAAGTGACTGTAAAACACTGGTTAAAATGAGTTAAAATGCGTGCGTATAGCTTTGCTGCAATCAAGTGGGATCCTTTTGGCTGTCTCTGGCACTCTTTCTCACATGAAAATAATTGCAGGTCAAATGCCGGTTGAGGTGGCGCTACACTGCCTTTCATCTGGAGGTCCTAAGGTTCGAGTCCCTACGGTTGCCGGATTTTCGACACTAGGTACATAGCTAGGTCGAACTGAGCCATTGTCTGGATGAGAATTCTAGCGGATGGCTGCTCTGAGTGAACGTTTCCCGAGGTTTCCCCGATCAACGTCAGGCTAATGCCCGAGCAGTACCGTAACTGACAGACCACGGACCACGCGCTGTGTTTCCTTTCTCTGTTGGTGCCCTCTGGTGAGGTACCTCGATGGGGAAATCCCCGCAAGTCGACGCCGGATTTCACCATCCAGCGAGTGAAGAACACCGTCGTCTATCGTGATAAAAACATGCACTACATTAACGAGACTAATGATCATAGCAGTTGCGGCAGGAAACACGAAATAATTAATCAATCCAACAGGGATATGGCAATGAAGTGAGGCGCGCTTTCCTCTCTGTCTTCTCTTCTGGACCTTTCTGCGCGTCCGCCAACTTGGCTGCAGGCGACGTGTGGGCGGGCGGGAGCGCGCGCGCCGCCTCGTTCGCGGCGCGTCCCCCGCTCGCGCCGCCGCCGCCGCTCGCTCGTTTCTTAATTACTCGCCGGGCCGCTGTTAAGTCGTTACGGCCGCGGACAAAGGCACCGTCTATGCGAGCGACTCCCTCCCCTCCCATCCGCTCCGCTCCGCGACTCGCGACTCGGCGGGGCGTGCTCGCTCCTCTCGGTACGCCACGCGACACGACGCGGCGGCTCGAGCCCTTCCCCGCCCCGCCCTGCCACCGCCACCTCTCGCGCCTTCACCTCCGCCTCCACCCCGCAGCCGCTCGCGCATGAAATTCCTAATGTTATAGTACAGTTTGTTTTGTCGTGTACTTGACGTAAATCAGCTGTTGCAGTTTCATCCAATCGGGGGCATATATATGTCGCTACAGTGATGTTACTATGGGGACATTTAAGCTTACGATTGAATGAAACTGTCAACAGCTGATTTACGTCAAGTACACCGTTAAATAAATCCTAGTATACCTGTCATCAATCATTCGCCCCCTCCTCTACCGCCTCGTCGCTATCGTCTCTGCCCCTCCTTTGCTGTCCCTCACCGCGGGCTTTGCTCTGCTTCGGCTCCGCACGTGCCTAAGCCTTGCCATCGTCCCCGCCGGGCATTGTCTCTGCCTCCGCCCCTCCTTTTCCTCCGGGCCCGAGCTAGCCATCGCCTTGCCTTTTCTTCAGTTATGCTCTGACTTTGCCTCCGTTCTGTCTACGCCTTGCTTCCGTTTTGCATCCGCACCGCCATTTCATCTGTTCCAGATGTCCGTTCACCCTCAGCTTCACCTCCGCCCGCTCGTTGGCTTCGCCCCGACTTTGCCCAACCTCCGCCTCCATCCATCTTAACCCCGCCGCCGCTCGAGATTTCTCTTGCGCCCGCCTCTGCCTCCCACTCTCTCTCTGCCCCTCTGCCGTTCCTAAGCTCCGGAAGCGTTTAACTGCTTGTACCCTCCGCTTCCGTTAGGGCACCGCCTCCGTACTCGTGAGCCTGGCGCACCTGCTGCCAAACGCTGGGATTTAAAGCAGAGCTGCTAATGCGGTGTCTTTTAAATATCATCAGTTGGTTAATATGCAGGAAATTAGTCGTTGAAGTACAAAATGTATAACAATACAATACAATACGTATAACCCAGGCAGCGAGTGACTTTA